CAGTCACCTGATATTTTTGCTTATAATCTAATGAAAGGACCAGGATACATGGCTTTGCTAGCGGGTGAAGTCATTCACATAGTAAAATGCGTGCCCGTTGAGGTCCGAGTGGCACGTACAGACGAATGCTACAATCATTTACCTGTGAACCGCGGAAATCAAACATACTTTTTAACTCCACAAACTCACGTGTTATTACGAGAAGGTACACAAGTCAGTTGTAATTCATTTGCTCCGTCAATGTATCTCTTAAAAGATGCATGGTATAAACTCGTACCTAAACCAGTGGAATCCCTACCTCCGACCGTAATAAAACCGAAGACGAAGCCTATGTGGAAATACGTTAGCCCAGGCTCGCTCACGACGAGCGGAATATACACCGAAAACGATCTCGCAGAGCTCAGGAATCATATTATGTTTCCCGCTGAGCGGCCTGCGGTACCCAATATAGTTGCGAGAGGCATGCTAGGCAAACCTACGTCTTTAAATGGGGGATCTTTTACCAACTTAATAGACGAGGCGTATATAGAGAAAGTCACCATCTCCGCCTGGGAGAAAATCTGGAATAATTTCCTTATTTTCGGAAATCTCAGCGCAGGCGTAATTGGAATATATCTACTCGGAAGACTTGTCAAGTTATTGATAGATACGATCGTCCACGGTTATGCAGTACATACGATATATGGGTGGTCGATGTATTTAATCGGAGCGGTTTGGGACTCTCTTACCCAGCTCTTATTACACTTGGGTGGAAACAAGTCAGAGCGAGATAACAAGCAAAAGGCTTTGAGCAAACAGTCAAAACCCATGGCTCCGCCGCAAGAAGAATTTCAAGACGTAAACACTAAGTCGTGTTTATATCTGCAACTTCCTACACACAAACCCGTCTATACTTTGGAACTTAAAGAAGTAAATCTCAATGGTTAAATTGCTGAACGCATGTATAATATAAAAATTAGATATATATATATATATATATATATTGTGACGTTTTTCGCAGTGGTAACGTAATTCTCGCGCCGCTCCCCCGCAAACGGAGATTACTTCCCGGGACTTAAGTGAGCGTCCGCGAGAGGACAACGTCTAATCACTGGCAGGACCGAAAAGATGGCCCGGAACGAGCACCGCCTGGTCGAGTCGACGAATACTTGGGTGTCGTTTTGGGCGCCAGACGCGGAGTCGCGTCAAAAATCAGCGTCACTCGGCACGACGGGCCGACTAGCTCTTTTGGGAACGGAGAGGGGCGAGGTTTAGCAAAAATTCAGAATACAGGCTGTCCCTTTACCTCGCGATAGGAAGCTCAAATCAAGGAAAGAGAGTTGTAATTAATCAGCACGAATTAATAGTTAATTGACAGTTTATTACGCGTGTCGAAGGGCAAAAATAATATAAAAGAAATAATATAAAAAAATAGTAGAAAGAGAAGATGGGTTACAAAATGATATAAAAGCAAAGATAACAGGAGAGATAATAAAGAAAGAATATATAAGAAATATGAAACAGAGAGATGAATAAGCTACGGCGGTCGCCTACGAAAATAATACAAACAAAAGAAGACACGGAGTCCACAACGACTTACAATAATTAACAAACCGTGTCACGCGAGTTAACGAGACAAATTAATGAATTGAAACGACACCGCAAAAGTACTGGACGCGATACGGTACTCGAGGATTCCAGCCGAAAGATAACAAGCGCAGGCACTAAACTATAGCAATCGCGGGGCGCAAAGCTAGAGGCAGGCTAAACAGCTAGAGAGTGCAAGCAGAGGTGCAGGGCAAATTCTAAGCCGCAATAAAATAGCGTGCAGTCGCCTTTTTACAAGCCGTAGATCAACCCGGACTTACTTGTTACGTTGAGGATCGCAATTTGGTCGACTGGCTCACTCTGCCGTGCAGCTTTCGCCGGTTTCGTGTCGCTAGGCCCAAAAGATTAAATCGAGCCGATTTCTCAATCTACGCGCATGCACTCGAAAAAAAATACTCGCGATACAGAGCGAAGGAGGTGCGACGTCGGAGTGGCTTCTCCCGATTGTTTATCACAAAATGATTAGAAACGCTCTTTATCTTGGCGTCAGGAAAATCGGCGACACAATACGTTACTCGACCGCGAATAATCCCGGACAACTTATACGCTCGAAAGGCGACACGCATTCACCGTACGCTCGCTAATAGTTCGGCGATAATTGTCCTGAAAATTCACCATCCGAAACTGTCGTTAATCCGCACGTTAATTCGGCACAATATTTCTTACCGATCACCACCGTTTCCGACTCGCACACACCTGACTCTAGCCGATCACACGAGAAAAATCCGATTTCGTTCTGACGATTTCTTACCGCGGCGGCGGATTGCCGTCGGTAGCCGAGATCCGACGGTACGCAAGCGATACGTCTTGATAATCACGGCATGCGCACACAAATACGCTCGCTAGACAAACAAAACAAAAAGAAATAGAAAAAGATGGACACAAATAACGCGAATAGGCTACTTGGCGCCGGATCGCCACTCCAGGGCTTGACTTAGGTTCGCGAAATTACAAGGAACATGCACTTAACCTACGAATCTACCACTACGGCCACGAAGCCCCGTGAAGCCCGATTCTGGCCGCTGTCGAAAAATAATCGTGAACACGGCCCAGGATACGTCCTTGCCGTCACAAACCAAACGCGAAAAGCAAGCGACCAGCCTCGACACGAGGCCTGTGCAACTCGGATTCGTGGCTAACAGAACTAAAACGGGCACCTCACCGTCGTCGGTTGCTCTCCGGCATGTCCGGTCTTCTCCGTCCGGATTAACTCGTCAGCTTCCCTTGAATCCGCCGGGGTCACCCTCTCGACGAGAATCACTTCGCCTTTAGTTTGAAATCGCGGTACGGCAAACTACGTAGACGGCACGGAAGATTCGCGTACGTACGGGAGCCCGAAAATATGTGTGTCTCGCACAGCTGTTCGCGACCAAGAGCAAGAAGATTTTGTTCGATAAGCGGTCGATACCCCGAGTAGCGCTAAGGTCGCGCGGGGTAGGTCGCGGGGCCAATCAGGTCGCAGGATTAGCGGCGCGGCTCGCAAGCTCGCTCGCAGGCGGCAGGATCAGCGGGCCGCGAAATTTGAACGCTCGTAGCGTCTATAACTAATTTACAGCAGCATAAGTAAAGCAGCAAGCAGCGGGGCGGGATAGCAATCCAAGGGATGCAGCAATGAGATAAGCAGCGGGTCCTCGAAACCCTGCAGCAGGATGGCAGGAACACCGCACGTCTCAGCGTAGGCCGGCTCGTTGATGGTTCGTTCCGCCGTTCCGCCCGTTCCGNTAGGCTAAAGCGCCGAGGTTCCGCTGTGGCCTTTGTCTGCAGTCACCTACCCTGGCTCTCCACGTGACCGGGAAGTGAGACTTCGCGCCTCAGTTCCGCTCTCGCTCTCTCTCTTGTACGGGTACCGCCGTTGTCCTTGACGAAAAGTCCCTCGATGTTTTCATGACGGTGAAGCGCCGCAATTACATATAATACAAAAATAAAAATAAAAGACTATTCTAAGCAGATGCATACAAGCCCTGGAGGATCTTGGCGCTCGTTTTTCAGCTCGTTTTCCCGGGTTCCCGCGAAATCTTTTAACTTTTGTGACGAGGAAAGAGCGGCGCGAATACCACGTCACAATATATATAAAACACATAAAACAGAATACACATATATACATATATAAATATATTCTCAAAATAATATAGAAATATATAATCAAACCAGTACATAAACTCTATAAAATTTTTATTGTTGCTTTATATAATTTCGACTACTACCAAGGCAGTAAGGAATATTGCAGAACCTTATAATCTTGTAGAGTAATAGAGATCCAATACATTGACGCCCATCTACTCGGCCATACTCCGGCTGAAATAAGCATCATCCGGGTTATTTCGCCGTCATTTTTCTGGGTTCATCTACGAGCTTCAAAGAATAAATTCACGAAATTACTAGAAGAGATGCAATCGCAGACGCGACAACAAAAAAGTGAATTAATCATGTGGCCACAGCAGGTGCAAGAAGGAAGAGTTTACAGCATCGACATAGGTGACAAAACCTGGCAGAGAGAAATCAACAAAGGACCTCGGCGAGAAAGGAGTCTTTGTTTTTCTTAGAGATTGGGAAACAATATCGACAGAAAAACCATATTTATGTATTGGAAGATAAGTTCCGCGAATTACCATAGCAGGCCATTCCGTGCGGATTAGCTTTTACTGCTCCAAGTAATTTTGCGCCCTACTGGTCAAAAAGGGCTAACGTTATGATGCGACTCACCTGCGAAGGAAAAGGGGGGTGGATGCGAGTCAGAGCCGTTGCCGGCATCCGCCACGAAAAAGCTTATGTCGATCTTAAGATTCAAATGGAAAACGGTGGTGACACTGTGTACATACGCTCACTACTTAAGAGTCTCGGCTACACGCGCGACGTTCCGAGAGTGAAAACGGAGACGCAACCGTTTATCGCGGGCATGTCTGAGTAAGGAGGATAAAAAGAAGAAGAAGAGAAGGCGTAGTACTATCGCGCATGTGTTTATAATCAACTGTAGCGTATCCAATACCAGTCGCATACGCGTGCGAGTGACGACTTTGAACGCTAATTGGTTTACCCACAAGATTTCTACTAAACTATTATAAACTATTATAAACACATAAACGTTCTCTTATCCTGAGTCGCTAACTACCCCTTCCTTTGCGTCTTTCTCACCTTTTCCCCGGTCGGTTAAGGGCTACTTCCGACTCCAAAAAATTTCCAGGAGACATTCTCCAACGAAAAGTCGTAGTGAGCATCCTTTGTAAGAAGCACACAAGATGGGCATCACGAACATCGACACCAAAGCATTGACACGTGCACTACTGAAAGCCAGGATTCTGAGAGTAGAGTCGCTCTCCAGAATTTGGATCCACCTCATCAACGGAGAGAAGAGCTTTAAGGAGATGTTAGAGGAACTCGACTGGTGAATGAAGCACCGTCGAGGGCTATTAATCATGTGGCCTAACTGCGTATATGTTGGTGCGTTGGTTGCCGTACAAACAACTAAGGGGTGGCAGCTAGGTGAAATAACTCACGTGATCCACGACGACGATGTGAGGATCGCCTTACGAGATTGGGGAACCCGAATAACCAGGAAGGTACGAACTGTGTTCCGGCTGCCGGAACAATTCACCACGGAGAATCGCACGTTGGAAGCCATATCATGCAGTTTAACCAACATTTTGCCGTTTGGCGGAGGTCAGAAGTGGCGCAGTGATGACATACACTTGGTCAAATTCCTGAGCGAGGACCATCGAGCCACCATAAAGATCCGAGGATCCACGGAGGATGGAGTAGAAGCGTACGTAGACCTCACGGTTACCCGGGAGTATGGACACAGTGCGAATCTGCGAAAATTGCTAGAAGACCTCGGCTGTGGATACTTTTGGCCTGCAGTCAATACCAAAGCCCGACCGGGACTACAAGATATAAAATATTAATATTATATTTATTGTATTTTATAATACTCAATACAATGCTTCATATAATACTTAATATAATATATATATATACGAGGTGTGATCAAAAAATAAAGTGACTTTTCATTTTTATAAAAAAATATTCATTTATTTATCCAAAATTATGTTATCCCCTTCAAAATAATCCCCCTCTGATACAATGCACTTGTGCCAGCGCTTTCTCTAGTCGTCAAAACACTTCTGAAATGCAGTTTTGGATATTGCCTTGAGCTCCTCCAGCGATGCAGCCTTAATCTCTTCAATCGTCGCAAATCTTCGTCCTTTCATGGGCCTTTTCAATTTTGGGAAGAGGAAAAAGTCGCAGGGGGCCAGTTATAACCCTTTTGAGCAGATCAGGATCATCATTGACGTCGTTTAACATGTCTTGGGCGATGTTCATGCGATGCTGCTTCTGATCAAAATTAAGCAGTTTTGGAACAAATTTCGCTGACACACGTGTCATACCCAAAACATCTGTTAAAATTGATTGGCATGAGCCAAACGATATGTTAAGATCATCAGCTACTTCTCTAATCGTGATTTGACGATTTTTCAACACAATTTCTTTTACTTTCTGAACATTTTCGTCGATTTTTGACGTGGTGGGGCGTCCAGAGCGAGGTTCATCGTTAACATTTTCTCGGCCCTCTTGGAATATCTTATACCATTTATAAACATTTTTTTTGCTCAAAGTTGACTCACCGTATGCTACTGTCAATATTTCAAGAGTTTTTGAACACTTAATACCATTTTTTACACAAAAATTAATACAAACTCTTTGCTCCATTATTTTCAACAGCAAAAAATCGCCGAGCACGCAAACACGAGTCTAACCTTTATGCCTCTCACATAAAAACAACACATGCTATATAGTCAAAACTGTGAACATATGATCGTGACGAGTGTACCAACACAACAACAAAAAATTTTGAAATTAGAGTGTACAGAGCGCGCGAAATTCAAAAAGTCACTTTACTTTTTGATCACACCTCGTACATATCATTTTTTTTTACTTACTCCAATTATATACACTATTACTAACATACTAATACTATTATATAAAAAGTAAGATAAAAAATTAGTAACGTGCATTAGTACCCAAGCCATAGTCAGTAAGTTTGTACCATGATGCGGAACAATAAAAACCTTTCTTTATAAAATTTAACTCACCATGTTCCTCTCCTTTACCTTCTAGCGTAAAAATAAGTAATAAGTTAGTTATAAAAAAAAAAAGAAAGAAAATAAAGGGGAGAGAAAAGGGAACTAAGTTAAAAAAATATATATGTATATGTAGAAACAATAGAAACAAAAATTTACTCTAAAAAAAAATAAATAAAAGAAAAAAAAATAAAATAAAATAAAATATTAATATACAACACAAATATAAATAGACAGCTACACATGTGTGTCCATGTATGTGTGTGTATATATACATATATATATCCACATATACATATATATGTAAGCACATGTATGAGAAGTAAGTAATGTAATAGACACATTGATATTAGTAATGGTGATAATAAAAGCAACTACAAGGTTCTAGAGTTAGGAAGAATCACGGAGCATTCAAAGCAAATCACGCTTGAAGACACACACGCTCACAAAAGCTATCGCGTTCACACGCACAGTAAAGAAAGTTGATTGTTACAGCTACACCAATATGAGGGGCGCCTGATCATCATCTCATTCCAATCAAAAAAAAAAAAAAAGCGAACAGTGAAGGAGACGTCTTTGCAGTACCACACTATCATATGTCACAATAACGCTTGACGTTAAGAGTAAACAAGTACGTTCCGCAATCACTACATATTCATGAGCGATATTAGAAGAGCAATAAAACTATTTTAAACTAAAGATTTCAGCCAGGCGATGAAAACCTTCGGAGATTGGATGATCACGCGACCACCATAAAATTTGAAACCGATCGCAGTTTTTCTTTACCATAAATCTCGCGCTCGCTTTTGGTTCCGTTCACATATATATACATATTCTATGTATGTATCTGTTTACCTCATGCATTTGTGCCAACTTCAAAGTTTCATATTCAACTGAAAGGTTTGCATTCAAACACAAGCTAAATTAAAGCATTTGATCGTCAATTGCAGTACTAAAATGCTGAGACATCAACCCGGAGACAAATTTCTGCGACAACTTCGATGTGTCACTCTTACAGTGGGACCGATATACCAAAGAAGAAACGATATCTTTAAAATCTGCTAAATGTGCTTTTCCAAGCTGTCAGCCGAGCAGCAAGAAAACTATATGAGTCTCTCGCTTCATCACTTGATTCACTGCACATCGGCCTATAACCAGCGAGCATGCATGCGCTGTGGCGTCACCATCATACGAATTCGACCTGCCTCACTATGCCGAGGATGTGTCGAAGAATATATAAACGCAGATAAAACACTTTTGGAAGCCGGCTGGGGAATAGCAGTAACAACCAGCTCATGGTACACAGGCTAAAAAAGGCCTCTTCCGGTAAACGATTGACGATCATGTGCGACAAAATTTCTTCTCTAACATCTTTCTCTTATTTCTTTAATAATATTAATGCATGAGACTCTGTAATATTACTGCTAGCGCGTGTCTGTCGTAAGGAAAAGCAGTGTATAAGACACATCGCCGACCTTACAAATATAAGCAAAACAATTCTTCTATAATGAAGCTAGAATAGTAACATTTCCTCTACCCCTTTTTAAGAAAGAGAATTGCAAACAGAAGGGAACCTCAGTTTTCTTTTTGCAAATGTTGTACATTTGTCTAACGCGGAAGGTGTTACGTCCTGGACTCCACGGTTCTCTTCTGTTTGGAACCAGACATAAACTAGCTTTAAGATTTGCGCCTTAGAATTAATTTTTAAATAACAATCCTTGAGCAGAGAACAAAGGACCTATTAAACTAAGATAAACAGATCCGTATCGCAATTTTTTTATCTAATCACTTTTACCGACTTTCAAAGGGATACCGGCCAATTAGTCAACAAGTAGCCCGGATGTTTGGTTCGCGAAAAATAATTTGCGAATATAAACTTAGATAATTTAGGCGGTCCGCTAATCTCTAGCAAAGAATGTTATGGCACCAAATATAAACAGGAAATTGCACGTGCAGATAATAAAGTTTAAACAAATGTTGAGTGAGTCAAAAAGAATGATTGTCGGTGATTGGTCCTCTCGCCTGGTCGGATTAGCAAATGAAGGATCGATAATTTAATCAGTAAAGAGTGGAAGAGTAAAATCTAAAGACGATTGGCAAAAATCAGAAGGGTTAACGCCCCGAGATCATCATATATAAGAAACATTTAATATTGGAACATCGGAGAGCGCGCTCTATAACCAGCATTACGATTATTAACACAGTTTTATTCCTTCTCGTCCAAATCAATTTTTCGAAGTTTAATTCAACAATTTAACTTAGAGTCAATTCGGTCGTACAAAACTCGCTTTTCCTGTTCGGTCTGAAATTCGACAATCGAAACGATTTTCAATTTGACATCGATCTCGGCACGTAAATCCGAGTGAACAGTGCGACTCGTGACAACTCCCATCGGAGGAGACGACCAATTCATCTCATCTGAGTCCAGCTGACAGACTCCTGACTTTTGGGCGAAGCGAATCAATCACTCATCTCGACATTCTACTGTAAATAATAAGTAGTGAGTACTTACTAATACAATAATTTTGCAAAACAAATTTAAGATTCTCGCGCACACAGTATAACTTTTTTCGAGACGGTTGATATTCGGAGGAAAAGAATTAAATTCGACAATTCAATTAATAACTGCTTTATTTAGTAAGTCCTTCTCCTCGACATCTTAGCCGGACCAGCGTTTCGCGGTGTCAAACCGTTCCGAACTGCTGCCGGTTCCTTTTCCGTCACACTAGCTACTCACGATCTTGCAAATCGTTCAGGGCCGCTGCTGACTTTTCATTCCTGTCGGACTAGCAGCTCACGATCTTGCAAATTGTTCAGGGCCGCTGCCGACTTTTCATTCCTGTCGGATTAGCAGCTCACGACGTTGTGTGTCGTTCCGGGCCGCTGCTGACTTCCATTTCTATCGGATTAGTGTTTCACGACGTCAGTTGTTCTGAACCGCTGCCGATTTCCAATCACCACTGTCGAACTTTGAGCAGTAATAGCAAATCATATGTAGTTGTCATACCGCTCCGAAAATCAACCGTGATTCTAACAACGCGATATTCGAAACCGAACTTTGCGGCGGAGAACCGCTGCCCGTCGAGCGAGCGAACCGAAGCGTACCAAACTCCGTCTATCCGGCAATAGCCTAAGTAGCAACGGTGCTTGTTTACGTAAGGATTTAAAATATTGAAAATACTAACAGTGATGTTAATAACGAACGCCCAGGATCAAACATAGTAATAATGTTAATGTATACTCAAATTCACACCGAACTTCATCACACGTCCAATTATTAATTCGACTTGCATAAAAGTATTTTTGGATAAACCTAAATGTTAATACTTTGAATAAAAATGATTTATATATATATATATATATGCTCATAAGAATAAAAACAACTTCAACTAATTAAACTTTGAACTTCTATCCTGAAAATTCATTCCTGTAATCTCATCACGTGATCACCAGGTCCTGTCCCAGGTAAATTAGATTCGTTTCTAAGACCTAAAAGCGGACCGACGAGTGAGAAGACGTTAGACAAGTAATATCGGCAAGTCCGTTGACTTGACTACGTCGTTGAACAGTCTTGCTCGACTCGCATGCTTGCCTTATCTCATTAGGTCAGTGTACCGAGATATAATACACAAAAGTTTTGTGTGTCAAGTTGCGTTTTTCCGTTAGGACCCGATCGTAACCGTAGGTCAGAACGTAACAGTACATAAAATGATAATACAGAACATAATTATACACGTTTAACTTACAACAGTGCTAAGAATGCAGGATTTATTTTCTTCAAAATCTGATGTTGTATTTCATCTTTATGCACCGTTAAACTTTGC